TGTAATAGCAGAAATCAGCATCATGTCATGTTGTTTATGAAATATCTTCACACATAGATGACTTCACAACTGCTTGATAACCAAGGATTCCATCTAACCTCCATTATTATCATTTTTAAGATAAGTTAATGATAGATAGCTGTCTGCACTTGGATTAATTTATCACATGTATATTTTATTCTGTATTTCTTCCATCTGTTTTACTCAATAATTCATTTTATCATTTACTACATTTCATATAATCCGTCTGTTGTCCACTTAGTGTAGAATGATTATCTTTTTCGTACCCACTGAATGCGCTTACATTTTGTATAACCTTCTTTAGTTATGGTGTGGGATGACCTGAAGAAAAAGCATGTCATCGAGTTAGAATTCGCATCAGAAGTCCGTGGCGTACGGTTGCGACGAGACAGGATTGTTGTCATCCTCGATACAATGATAAAGGTTTATACCTTTACCAGCAATCCGCAACAGCTCCACGTTTTTGACACAGCCAATAACCCCAAAGGTAGGAAATGGTGCTTAACAAGCATTTAGGTGTTTGAAAACTTATTTTTATTTTTCTTATTTAGTTGCTTGTGTTTGTCCACATTTTCTTTTTGGTATAAGCTTAGCTCTTTTTTGTCTTGTAGAAATTACAAAAGTTATATAGTTGCAAAAGGTTTAGATAGTTTATCTTATTATTTACTTATTCATATTTTCTTTTATTTAAGACAAAGGGAGAACAACAATTTTAACCAAGACAAGCAATTATGTACTAACTTTGTACACATTCAGTTTATCCCTTGTCACCATTAGAGATAAAACCTTTGACTACAATAATAAGCCATAATTGCTCCATATTGCAATCATAACAAAACAGCCAGATAGAAGTATAAATTATTCCTTCATACTCTTTCTAATCGTGTTTGTGCAATGTCCGTTGGTTATTGCAGATATTGAAACAAAGGCAAATGTCTACATTTTAATTTTTTTTACTGATGAAGAATACTGTACTTGTCTTTTACTCTTCATTATCCATTTTGATTTTCTGTCCTAACACTTTACTTCTTATACATGTGTCACACCTCCCTCAGGGTTGTGTGTGCTGTGTCCAAACAGCAACAATTCACTCCTGGCCTTCCCTGGGCCACGCGCTGGTCACGTGCTCATCATTGACCTCGCCAACACAGAAAAATCGCCACAGGACATCCTGGCCCACGACTCACCTCTTAGTTGTATTGGTAGGTTGGGGCATGTGCATTGCCTTCAATTTTTAGAAACAGGTTTTTAGATTGTATTCTTTTAGAAATACTTTACCTTTTATTGACCATATTGCAGTTTACACAAGTTATAATGAACTATAAGGATCATAATCTGAGAACCTATAACCAGTTAGGGATCCATTGGCCTTTATGGACTACATATACTTCCCTTGGCCACACCAAATAATGCACAGGGTTTAGACCAGTGGTTCTGAAACTGGGTGCTTCAGAATTGAGCCATACCTAGGTTTCCCAAAAGATTCTGGAACAAGAAAAAATGAACTTGGATAAATTCATGTGAGAGGGGGAGGGGGGGGTCAAAGGAAAGGGTGTCACAGAAAAGACTATGTGACCTTTGAGTGCCATCACTATGAAGATTGTGTGGAATTACTAGTTTAATTTTATTTTGGCCCGATTGGATAGATTTATCATGTTTGGCACTGAGCTCTGTAATTCATTATTTGGTGACTGTAATGGCATTGACAGATTCATCATAATGATCATGAAAATTTGTAAAAATTTGGAAATGAAAGCCCCAACTCTTTCTCAATAATTAGAATTTTTGTTTCCGAAATTTTTATTTTTTTAGGTGGTACATCTAATTTTTTTTTCTCACAGTCATGGAAGGTATGCATGCACATCCTAATATTCCCGTAAACCATAGCTGGGCAGTATATTTGAAACTCAATAGTCAAGCACTGAGAGGTTTCTCAGTGCAAACCAAGAGATGGAGGGGAGGATGCCAAAATTTGTCTTTGATAGCTAGGATTCATTAGAATGAGAATACACTGTTGTGTTATGCTTACATAAAGCTTTTTATCAGTTTGTGTTAAAAGTGCCATGATTGTTCTGATTTATACTTCTTTATTCTCAAAAGAAGGTATCTCTTTCGTGAGCAATTTAATTAAAGCCTGATTGAGGCCACAGTTTTAGTTATAATGGACAGTATGAAATGCCATATGATTATTTGTAATACAATTGATATTTGAATAAACATATTACTTCTTTCTAACTAGAAATAAAAACCTTATGACTAGAACAGTACAGAAATCAGAAACAGTTGTTATATGGATTATTATTCGTGATAACTTACAATGTCCATTTTACAACAGAGACTGCAGTGTATTATGAATTACTATATTACTGTATGTTATGATGTATGTTAGAGATAAGAAACAGTAGATATTTTAGTGTCTAACACTATTCTATTATATGTCCGTTGTTATATAAGTACAGGAAGGAAGAAGTAGAGTAAGAGAAACTTTTAGGGGAAGGAGTATGGGAAGGGGAGCATATGAGGGTGTGAGTTAAGGGGACTGAAGGGAAGGAGAAGGTTGTGTTGATTCTGTTTGAAAATGAGGTGCAGCTTATCTGAAGTTAGATATTAACATGAGCTTTCTTCTTTTCTAGCCCTAAACCTCCCAGGAACAAGATTGGCTACAGCCTCGGAAAAGGGGACGCTAATCAGAATTTTTGACACAGCATCAGGAACACAACTAAATGAACTTCGCAGAGGAGCCAATGCAGCAACAATATACTGGTAGGTGGAACACTGAGGTCTGGGAAATAAATGATTATTGACAGTGGGATACCCAGGAAGGCAATTAGGATATGGTTTTCTCTTCTGCTATTACTGCTATATACATTTCTCTCATATGTCTTTGGTACAGGTAACCCTTGTTGTCTATTTTGTTGTTTCAAAATTCACAAATCTGTACTCTGTTGCATTATTTGCATTTTTGGTTACTGCCACTACACCAGTATTCTAAACCAATTGGCTCATGCTTCAGACTAGGCAACAGAATTGACAAAGTTGTGTTTATTGTTAGTTGTAATATTTAGGCCTATTATTGTTTAGCAAAGGAACAAGATCAGATGAAGTGCAATGCTATCCAAAGTCTCATCAGAAGATAGACTTGAAAATGGAGCACTGTCAGCCCTTAGCACGCAGTCTCACCATGTCATTTTTTTCATAATTGGGCTTATAAAATTACCAACCAGGACAGTAGCATACTTGGAATTAGTCAACCAGTGTAAAATTATATTTAATTGTATATTTCCCTATTTTGCCTTTTCCTTCTCTGATCAAGTTGGTGATACAGAATTAAGCAGTCTTATGGGTAAAATAGATTTTTTATCCCACATTTCAATATGTGATCAATATCTGTAAGATATGCCTTTGTCAGATAACATGGGTTACCTGTAATATATTTTATGGTCCCATAAAGGGAAGAGTCTTTTTCAGGAAAATTAATTATGTGCAAAATTAGCTGTGCTTTGTATGGCAGATATGATTGAAGTGATATTTAGAATTCAAAATCCATGGATTCTGTGTCTCAGTGATGATAGTTTAGACCTTTTTTCATTTTTACTTATTCTTGTAGCATCAACTTCAGTCAAGATTCTTCACTGCTGTGTGTCTCAAGTGACCATGGGACTGTTCACATATTTGCTACAGAGGATGAGGACAAGAAAAACAAACAGTCGAGGTTAGCACCTGCGTTTTGATTGTCACTCTCTCTTATTATGTATGCTTAGCCTGTAGTTTGTGCACTTTTTTTTTTCTCTCTCTCTCTTTTCTTTTCTTTTCTTTTCTTTTCTTTTCTTTTCTTTTCTTTTGAAGTGTTTTGTACTGTGATGTTATATTGGGAATGCAGTTGTGTGTGTGTGTGTTTGTGAACACTTGTAGGTGTACATGTATATGCACACACTTATATGTACCTTATATAAGCCAAATATATGACAACTTCTCTTCCAGCTTAGCCTCGGCCTCTTTTCTGCCCAAGTACTTCAGCAGTAAGTGGAGTTTCTGCAAATTTGAGGTTCCTGGAGGATCGCAGTGTATATGTGCCTTTGGTCCCACCAGCAACTCCGTCATTGGTGAGAATGCCTGTATTTGCTTGATTATTTATTTTTTATGTGTATCTTTTATAGAAATTGCTGATCTGATAGTGTTTGTGCTTTATATAACAAATATTGAGAAGAAAAGGAAATTTAAAATTTTGTAATAATCCCCCATTGCCAATAGCCAATACTGACAAAAAAATGCTTATCAAATGTTAGGCTAACAAATACCCTCCCTCGTTCTCAGCAATATGCGCTGATGGCAGTTACTACAAGTTCACATTCAACGCAAAAGGGGAATGCAACAGGGAGGTTTACGCCCACTTCCTCGAAATGACCGACGACAAAGCATAGGACTTGTGCAGAGGTAGACATTTCACAGGAGTGCTCCGTGCACTAGCCTCATGCACAGTGTTTTCATAAGTTATGTACATTAACACCAATGTTGAGGGTTGTTTAAAAATTATGTGCAGTCTCGAGATTTCATGTGATAGTCTAGTAGTATGTACTGTATAAGTGTCATTTTTATTGATTTATGAAAACTGATTTTGTTTTTTAATTTATTTTTATTATCTGTTATTCAGTCCCTCATTCCATGTTTGGCAGATCTTCCTCATTTGAGTGAATAACATCTTGACTGGGTTATTTTTTTAATATTATATTTTTTATCAAGTTTATTACAACATTTGTACTTAATACAAAACGAGACTAAGTTTTTCTCTTTTCAGTTATGATATTTCTTTATTTTGTATTTTCTTTATGTTGGATGCATCTGCCATCTGCTGACAATTCCAGATTTTTCTGTAAATTTCCCGCCTCCTCTCTTTTTTTCTTTTATTTCTCTTTCTTACTTCCTTCCTTCTGTATGTTTATCATTTTTATCTCTTTCACTCTCTCTCTTTCTCTCTCTCTCTCGCCCTTCCTTCTTTTTGTTTCTCCCGTTCTTTCAGTCTTTCAGGATTTCTTCCTTGCTCCCTTCCTCTTTTCCTCCCTTCCCCTCTTTCATTTTTTCTGTCTTTCTCACCCTCTTCCTCCAGTTCTTCCTTTGTCTCATCCATTCATTCATTTTTCTTTTCTTTCTTTCTTTCTTTTTTCTCATTTGATATGCTTTCCACTTTATTTGCTTTAGTCTTTTTATGGTTCATCACACCTTTTCAGTGTTTAATTACATTCATTACACCTCACAGTTTCATGAAGTGTCATCGTTAACAGATTGTCCTAAAGACGGGGAATATTTTCATTTTTGTAGAATTGTAACAAAATCTAAAATGTTACAGTAAGGTTGGATGATATATCTGTATGTATGTGTGCATATGTACATATTTTTGTTTTTGTATGTTACGTCAGTCCCTTTCTTCTTTTTCTTCTTCATTCTTTTTTATTCTTTTTTATTTTTTTCCTGTTTTTTATTTTATGAATTGAATTCTTTTTAATACTACTGGTCATGTACAACTGGATCCCAAGAGGTGTTACACGTCTGCTTGATTTTTTTTCTTTCTCTCTTTCCCTCTTTCTTTTGTCATGTAATAAGGTTTGTTAAAGTATTCATTTCTCTTTATGAAGTTCCTTAGAAATAAAGAATTAGGTCATAACTGCAGCATTGTGCACAGATGCTGCCTCACAGAACTTTGAGTGTGCAGTTCAAACCTTCTTGACGATTGTTTAGATACAGTATGTTGTCCAAAAGTTTTTCCAAGGACTCTGACTACAGCTGAATCATCTCCCAGTAAGAAGAAAGTTTCTGGCTCGACAAAAGACTGGTTGTGTAGTCAAAGGGTTCGTATGGAGGAGTTTACGTAATTTTTATTTGGTTTTAGTAATTCGATTGACATATATTAGTAGAGTGAAATTGAACATGTATGTTTCCATGTATGCATTTTGTGCTGTATTTCATTTGATGGTCAGCTAACCCAGAAATAATGTAAGATAAACTCCCATATAACAGATTTACTCTTCTTGCTCCTTCACTCTCTCTTTGTCTGTCTGCTCCTCTCTCTCTCTCTCTCTCTCTCTCTCTCTCTCTCTCTCTGTCTCTCTCTCTCTCTCTCTCTCTCTCTCTCTCTCTCTCTCTCTCTCTCTCTCTCTCTCTCTCTCTCTCTCTCTCTCTCTCTCTCTCTCTCTCTCTCTCTCTCTCTCTCTCTCTCTCTCTCTCTCTCTCTCTCTCTCTCTCTCTCTCTCTCTCTCTCTCTCTCTCTCTCTCTCTCTCTCTCTCTCTCTCTCTCTTCTCTCTCTCTCTCCTCCCTCTCTCTCCCTTTCTCTCTCCCTCCCTCTCTCTCCCTCTCTCTCTCCCTCTCTCTCTCCCTCCCACCCTCTCTCCTTCTCTCCCCACCCTCCTCTCTCTCTCCTCCCTCCCCACCTAACTCTCTTCTGCTCTCATGTCTGGAAATGATATTTGTGTCGACCAAAGAAAACTAACATCAATTTCATTATCCTGATAAGTGGTTTACTGAGAGTTAATTTTGAAATAATTTGCGTGTCTGTAATTTTGTGAGAGCTTACACGTGTCCATTAGGTTTATGCACTTGGAAATATTCATGCAGTATATATGTATCAGAAGATCATATGTTGTGAAATGTTTATGATTATCATGGTATTGATTATGAATATTCTTTGGTGAGTATTCATTATTGAAGTTAGAGTATTTATGATGTCACAAAGATTTTATGATAATGTAAATTAAGATGAAATTTTTATGTATTGTGAATCGATTTGCATGAAGATTGAAATTTATGCAAAGATTAAGTTATATTATGGAGTTGTTGTCATTATTATTTTATTATTTAGTTGAATCATTATTGTTTTGTTATTGTGTTGCAAGTTGAGCGATATGTTAAACACAAGCAATGAGAGAGAGCTATAAAGGGCAGTAGGATGTTGGAGTATTTTATTTTAATTAAAGATTTTGATATTGAAAGTAGAATCCATGACCATGTTCATTTTTTAGAAGATAAAATAAAGAGAGGGATTTGTGTTATAAGAGCCAGAGTGCGGAATATTGATTTCAGTGATCTTTAGCAATTCACGGTTTTATAATTGGGATGTTCATCCTCTTTTTTTCTAAGGAGCTAATCTCTCACTTTTATATCATGATGTTGGGTTATGTTCTGTGCTGATAATCTGAATGCTATAGATTTTTTGAGTGTAAATGAATAGATGGCAAATAGATGATGTATTTACAATGACAGAAAAATTATCTTTCAATTATGTTAGATGCAATATTGCTATTGTACCATATATATCAGCAATATTTTCCTCAGTGAGAGACAAAAGAAATCTGAAGCTCTTTTATGATTTAAGGAAGAGAGTTAGTGGCTGGATTTTTTTTGTCATTCATTATATTTTTGTAATTACATCCTGGCAGGTTATGAAAGAGAAGGATGTGTGATTAACTTAGAGTAATATAGATAAATAAATGGCTAAATAAATAGATAGATAACATAAAAATTGAAGGGATAATAGAGATAAGAATGTGTCTGATTTATGTCAGTGCATACAGCCAACATTTTTTTTTTTCATACATTACTTATAAAAAAAAAAAATGTGTTTAATATTTTGACAGTATTAACTTCAAAGATTTAGCACTGATGTGTTATGTAATTGAAACTCAGAATGCGAATCGTTGTATCTCATGAGCGTGATGATCTAATTATTTTAATTCTCTTGGTTTTGATATTTTGCCTGTGGGTGTACTAAAAAGAGGAATACCTTTTTTTCCAGTGCAAGATTCCCAATGTGAGTATGTGTTGTCACAAAAGTCTCTTCAATCACTGGTCTTTAAAAGGAAACAAATTTGGAATTGATGCTTTTTGCACGTCCATTAGATGTCTTTTTATATATATATACAGCTGAATGCTTAATAAGCTTGTGCAGGAAAGTACACCATGAATTAAAGTCCAACTTTGTACATATGGAATTCGTGTTTTGTGTTATTGAATTCTGTCATTCTGTAACTTTTTGTAATTGCAGTGTGTGCTTGGGTAACACAGTCTGCCTGTACCAAACAGTGTAAATATGAATCTAAATATAAATGGCTTTTTAGATTATATAAAGGAAATAAAAAGTGTCTGATCACAAGAACAGCCAAAATGTTTAGTAGCTTATATAGTCCTAAAAAAGATAATAATGATAATGACAAAATTAGTGAAGATATGAGATGACGCTTGTATTTTTAAAACGGTTACAATTTTTTTAATTACTGATGGAAGGACTTGACGGACTTGCCTGTTAGTAGACTATGATTTGAAGCTTGAAGATGTCCTTGGTTAAGCTTCCTTCTGTGTGATTATCATATAAGCTTGACATCGGGGCTTCGTTTGGTCTTCCAGTAGGAAAGATAGATGAACCTTCTATGAACAAATTAGGCTATGCGATCTGTTCTGTAGATCTCGGAGTGTTGGGTTTATATTTTATTCTGTTTATCTTTTCTTTCTTTTATTTTTCATATCCTCCTTCTATATCCTTCAAATTTCCATACCTTTTTCTGTTGTATTTTCCACACCCTAACTCTTGACACGCATGTGTGGGTGCACGCATACACATGCACGTGTGTGGGGGCACACACACACACACACACACACACACACACACACACACACACACACACACACACACACACACACACACACACACACACACACACACACACACACACACACACACACACACTCTCTCTCTCTCTCTCTCTCTCTCTCTCTCTCTCTCTCTCTCTCTCTCTCTCTTCTCTCTCTCTCTCTCTCTCTCTCTCTCTCTCTCCTCTCTCTCTCTCTCTCCTCCCTCCCCCTCCTCCTCCCTCCTTCCTCTTTCCTTCCTTCTTTCCCTATCTCTCTCTCTCTTCCTCCCCTGTCTTCCTTTCTCTCTTTCTCTCCTATCCTTTCCTCCTCTCCCATCACTCTCCCTCCCCCTTCCCTTGCCCCTTTTCTTCCGTCTCCCTCTCCTTCTCTCGCCTGAGCATCAGAAACGGGAACAAGGGAAAGGACGTCTCCTTCCATCAGTAAGTCATTTGGTGCGTATGATTTTAACATTGGCGTTTCAGCCCGTTAACGAGGTGCTGTTTATCTTCATTAAGGAGATCATCTGTGATTAAGAGTGCAAATCAGCCAGTTTGGTTTATTGCATATTCGGATGTTTTGTAGCCAAGAGGAATTTGAATGCCTTTTGTTCTGTCTTTCTTTCTTTTATTATTCTCTTTTTCTTTTCTTTTTTTTTCTTTTTCTTTTTTCTTTTTTTTTCCTTTTTTTTTCCTTTTCTTTCCTTTTTCCGAAGATTTATTTACAGCAAAATATAAAAATAACTACAAAAAATAATAAATCTTGATATTTGGATTTTTTTTCTTTTATTTCTTTATACTTTTATTTTTATTATTAAGCTCGCCAAGTTAGACAGATGGTCACCTTAATATATTTTCCGTGTTCTTCATCATCAACACAAATGGATAGATTTCACACACTTTTATCTGCTGGCTGGCCCTTACTGTTCAGTCAGTTCAAAGATTCACATATAAAAGAAATTGTTAACAATGCTGACTCCATTTTTTTCCTTTTTTTTTTTTTCTTAACCCACTGGCCTTAGATGGCATGGCATACATGACACGTCCACTGTGGTTTTAGTTTGTTAACCCATTGGATCCGGATGCTTCACTGCCATCATATGGCTCAAAATACAGGCTTACGTAAGTAGTTATTCTGCCAGGTGTGCAGCTTGTAGGCCGGGCGCAAATGAACATGTGTGCGGTGGCAAGACTAAATGCCTCCCCTTTGCAGTGTTATTTTGTCTTTTTCGGCATGAGCGTTTTTAGCTTTTTTGCCATTCTGTAATATCTATATTTTTCATTTCATTTGCTTTATCCAGATGGCAATAGACTTTTTTCCTTGCACAGACTCCATATCATCTCTCTAGATAGTCTATAACTCAGT